GTGTCACATACAGCACTGATGGTACCTGTCTGTCATGGGTTTGGAGGGAAAGTTCCATCCTATGGGGAGTGGAAGGCGGGACATCAGGGGGGAGGAGCTGTACTGTATATATTTGGGGGAAGTCCTTCGTAAGAGAGCTGACGTGGAGAAGTGGAGTTGGAGTCTGTGGGTCAGACTGGGTACAACTGTTCGTCAGATAGTACATACCTGATAGGTTCAGGTTTCTATCTAGGTAGCCAGAACGGATAAGTTCAGGGTCTGTGCGTTACCTTAAAGTGTTCCGTGGGAACCAATCTGTTGTATGTGTATGATTGGGACTATCCCAAGTTCCAGTATCCTATTTACCTGATCCTTTTATTTACCCTGTTTGTTTTTTCAATAAACCTTGTTCTCTTGTTTATTAAAATCCATTCCTGGTCTGGGTGACTTGGGAGAGCGAAGGGTTGGTGGCAGCATAACTACAGGGTGGGATACTCCAGTAGGTCTTGGGTTGTTACACCAGGTCTGCATCCTCCTCCAGGATAAGGTTGTGAATTACCTTGGACTTGTTGGATACAGACCTGGCATTCAACAACAGCAGGCATAGAGTGGAGGGCCGACTGGTCTGGCTACCTCGGTACTGGGGGTTGGTCACCGTCTCAGAACAATGAACAGCCTTTAAGCATCTGTCCATCGTTCTTCTGACATGAGTAGGGACAGAGCCAATGTGATATCTTCCTCTACCTGCGATCACAGGAATATTAAAAGGCCCCTGGCTGGGCGAACAGGCCTTCCACTCCATATCCAGGAAAGGAAAAGAAAAAAGGAAAAAGAAAAAAATAATTCAATCCCTAAATTAATAAGAACAACTATATACAATAAAATAGAAAAAATACAAAAACAATAAGAGTCCCAAATTATATGATTTCTGCAATGCTGCCAGTGTTTTTCCAGAAGGTTGTGGAATGTTTTTCTGCAGGCCTGAGAAAGACATTCCTAGATAAGGAAAACGGACCTTGTTGTGGCGTGCTTGCAGACGCACTACGTAAATGCCGCCTGTTACCCATGGGAAGAGAACGGAGCTGAGAAGAGAGACCATAAAGAGGACTGTTTACCTGATTGCCTGCCGTGATTGGTTGTCAGCGTGAGAGAGGGGAGATCACGGATGTGCCAGCAAAGCTTGGAAAAGGAACTCTTACTATGCACAGGAGTCTAGTTGAGTCTTTAGTTTTAGTCTAGCTAATCTTGGTGCTTTATTCTTTTATTATGGACTTTCTATGGAATATACTTTGATTCTTTCATTTTACCATGGACATTCCTGAATTTTTACTTATGGATTACTTCATTCCTTTTTTCTGTGGATTACCTTTTGGATTATTTTGAAAATGGACTTTTTTCTGATCTACGTGCTTGCTGCAGAAGGACTGGGCAAGATGTAGGAGATTTTAGAAGAAGGGGGGCTTTTGCCTTTTTGCCTTCCCTTAAATAGCTTTTTACTTATTTTCATGGGTTTTTGAGATTTTTGATATTTTTGCTGTTTTTGTATTATTATGGATTTATTGCTTCACTTCTATTTTGTAACCAGTTTGAAAATGATTCATTTGCTTGCTTATGCATAAAGTGACTTTTCTTAATGGAATTTTCTATATTAAAACAATAATAATGAAAAGCAATTGATCTCTTGAACAGTAAACTGCCTTAGTGTCACCTGAAGAGGAATTTAAACCATTAAATTGGCCACTTATGCTATTGAGTCCTGACATATTGAGCCTATGGGGTCTAAGGACTACAAAGCTCATGTGTTTGGTCTTTTTGGAGTTTCTTAAGGTACTGAGATACTAGTCCATATTAAAACAATAATAATGAAAAGCAATTGATCTCTTGAACAGTAAACTGCCTTAGTGTCACCTGAAGAGGAATTTAAACCATTAAATTGGCCACTTATGCTATTGAGTCCTGACATATTGAGCCTATGGGGTCTAAGGACTACAAAGCTCATGTGTTTGGTCTTTTTGGAGTTTCTTAAGGTACTGAGATACTATTTTAGGACAGACTTGTAAGCGGGAGTTTGTCACAGGCCTTGCTGGGTTACCAGGACTCAACTCAGCTAACATAAGGGTGTGAAAACGTCTAATTACTCTGTGTCCGAACGGTCAAGCATCCTCTAGGGGAGCTGATCGCTTACACAGGTAACTTTGGTCTTGGAGATAAAAATGAAGCAGGGCAAAGGCTAATAGCATTTTGTTAAGAGAACAAGCTGATCATCACAAACACTCTTTTCGAACAACACAAGAGGCGACTCTACACATGGACATCACCAGGTGGCCAATACCGAAATCAGATTATGTTCTCAGCAGCCAAAGATGGAGAAGCTCTATACAGTCAGCAAAAACAAGACCTGGAGCTAATTGTGGCTCTGATCATCAGCTTCTTATAGCAAAAGCTTAACTGAAGATTGTAGGGAAAACCACTGGGTCAGTCAATTATAATCTAAACCAAATCTCTTATGAATACACAGTGGAAGCGAAGAATAGATTTAAGGAACTAGATTTGGTATACAGAGTGCCTGAAGAACTTTGGATAGAGGCTCGTAACATTGTACAGTACGCAGCAACA